CCCTCCACCTGGTGAAGGTCTGCGGGGGGCCGGACGGGAAGGCGGTGACGGGGCAGTGGTGATGTTCAGGCAGGTGGTGATGGGGCAGTGGTGGTACCCAAGTAGGCAGTGATGGTGCAGTGATGGTACCCAGGGGTGTGATGCTGGTACCCAGGCAGGCAGTGATGGGTTGGTGAGGGTATCAAGCCAGGACGATGGAGCAGCGGTGGTATGCAGGCAGGCAGTGATGGGGCAGTGAGGGAAAGTGGTGATGAGTTGTTGAAGGTACTGCACATGCATTTTAGTCTCTTAGTCTCTCTATTGTCTTTTGTATTTAACCACAGTCCTCACGCAGCCTCATTCCTAGGATTCAGTTAAGCAAGACAGCTGTGATGCATCATGTAAAATTGTGTGTATTTACAAATATATATACGTATTTACACAATACTGTGAAGCTGAGTTGATAACCCTTTTTTATTCCCTTTTTGACACAGGAGCTCGGCACCCTGGGATTTGAATGTACCCTTGAAGAAGTTGATCTTGAAGATATCACTAAGAACCAAATGAACACAATAAAAGCCTGCACATCTGAGGATCCAGGGGTAAAAAAAATATATCAAGTTCCAGCATCATATTTTCATGGAACAGCTATATAATTCACACTTCCACAAAATCACCATGTCTCGTGTCTTTAATTTGCAGACTGGAAACTGTCCAGTGCTGGAAAGACCTACTTTTGATATGGTATATTGCAAGTTTCCCAAAAGAACCCTTTTGTTGGCTTGCTGTATGTTTAAAGCATTTAACAATGGATTCACACATTTCCTAATAATTCTGATTGTTGCAGAGTAAATGCCTGCAGGGCATCTATAAGGATCTGAATGCCTACAGGGCAGAGCTGAAGAACTTCAACGATCAGAAAGTGCTGGCAACTATTGATGAAATGATGAAAGTAAGTCTTTCTGTCTTCTTACTTTCTATTATTGCTGTCTTAAACCAGGGGGTTTAATCCAGTTTGCTCCATTCTGAAGTCAGTCAAATAGTGACTTTTCTTTAATCTGGCAATTTAAAAAAAAATTGTCTGTTACTGCTTTTCCTAGAAGGGACTTGATTCTTATGAATTATGTGTTGCACTTCACATTTTAACTTTGCTGCCACAGTCAGCTGTATAGCTCCTTCGTTAACACTGCTCCATTCTCACAAAGAGATGCAGTACAGGATTTTCTGCCAGTTCCACAGAGAACTCAAAAATAGAGTAAAAGGGACATAGCTCTGTTTCTCTTTCAAATATTGAAATATAATACATCTGGTATACCAAATATGACATTGGATGTACTGAACTTTGATAAATATTATTAGTGGCTAAAGGGAACAGAAGTTAAAAGCTTGTTAGTTTGTTTTACAAAAGCTAATTAAAACGAAAGTTAATTGTGTTTGTATCGACACAGCATCTCCCAATAGGCTGGAGATTTTGGCCACAGGCAGATGAGCCCAGTCTGGAAGGTCACTAGACAAAGCCAGCCATAGGCTTATTATTTTAAAAGCATCTTTATGCCTGGGAAGAAAGGGCCTTTGTGCATGAATGGACATTTTTGTCTCAAGGAAAGTACAACTATGCATCCTAAGTCAATTAATCATATCATTAAATACTTCAAATTTTATCCTAGGACTATTAATTATATCATTACGTATTTCAAAACTTATCTGAGGTCTATTAATTACATTAAATATTTCAAATTTTTCATTTAGGAGAATACATTCTAAGTCCTGTAATTTATAACTCGGGGTGAAAAAGCTAAAGAGGTTTTTGGTTTAGCCACTTTCTGGCCATAGTTTGAAACACCCCGACCTCTTCCCAGGCCCTGAAGACCAGCAGCGGGAGTGCACCACAGCCATCAGCAGGCATAGGGCTCGCCTCCTTCAAAGAGAGGATGAGGCTCTGCAGCATCCTTCATGCCTTCCACATCCGCACAGTCACGATCGACAGGATGATGAACTACCTGACCTCTCTGGAGAGCTCGCTGTAAGCACCCAGCCCTCCAGCACTCTGGCTAGAAATTTGATCTAAGGATGTTTTGGAGAAGAAATAGTAGGCTTAGTACCCTGCGAGGCAGATGGGGGCTTTTAAGGAACCTAGTACATAATTTTTCAGAGTTTCTTATAAATCATGTTTTAGTGAGCTGTTGTCAGTGCCTTTTAAGCTATTGTGTTAAACTTCTAGATTTCTAGAATATAAGCTACGTTGTAGTACCAAAATGTTCTCAAATCAGCAAACACTCAACTGTAATTTATTTATTCTGCTGTAATTTTCAGAAATGGAAACATATTTATAATAATCAATTTATGATATTCCTTATTTATTCTATTTATTGCCTAATAAAATTAAAGTTTGCATTAAAATTGCAGTGGCTTTTTTTTTTCTTCCTTGAGATACAACACAAATACTTTTAAAATACTTTGAATATTGCTGCATGTAAAGGTACACCATAGCAACATTCAGCACTGATACCATATTTTAAAATCCTGTTTCTATCTTCTTACTTACATCAGACATGGATTTTGTGAATTTCCTCTCAGGCTGCGCACTCAGAACAACCCACTTGATTTCATCCTCATTTACTGTGATTTTCCAGCCGGTTCATAGTTCCTGGGGTGAAATCCTGGCCCCACCAAAATCAAAGGTGAAATTGTTTCAGCGAGGCAAGGATTTATGCATAGCTTTGAAGGCCAGAAGGGATGCTGGGATAATTACCTTCCCAATTCTTGCCTGCAGCTTAGATTTACTGATTTCTGCTTTTGACCAGAGGGTCCTATTAGAACTCTGGTTTTTAGCAGGTATCTTAAAGATTCCCAATGGCAATTTCCACCCACTTGTCCCAGAGAGAAGAGCTAAGAGCAACTCCGCTCAGGGATGGAGAGCCTCACATCAACATCCCTGCCCCCCACAGAGATTTTTTTCCCCTAAATACTCCACTGGCAGAAGAGCCTGCAAGGTCCTGGGCACCAACACAGCCCTTTCCAACAGCAACCCTGTTGAATGTATGTACCAGTGGAGCATCAAGGGTTGGAAAGATGGCCCACAACGCACAACAGCCTTGCAACATTCCATCTAACAGCTAAAATAAAAACATATATATATAAAAAATAAAAAATCATACGTAAATAGTGTAAATGTCTCCTTTTTAATCCTTATTTTTAAAAAGTATGCCTTTTCTTTCATAAACATACGCAGAGGAAGAAGATCAAAAGAATCCATATCTTTAAAATCAAGACAATCTCCTGCATCAGGTTGCTGCTCACTTCTGCAAATAAGATTCACTCCAAATCTTTTCCAATTCTGCAGTATGTGCACTGCTGACAGAGTAACAGCCTTCACAGACATTTTGGCTTCTCCCAGTTTAGTTTGAAGTAAAAAAAAATATAAAAAGTTTATAATACAAAAAAAATTATATAACATAAAAAATTATTTCATAAAAATTGAGACAGACTATACAGAAGAGTGAAGAGGAAATTCCCCGAGAAAATTCAAAGCTGCCTAGAGTTATTAGTGGTGCTCCCATGAAACCAGAGTTGGGGTTGCTCGAAAAAAGAACCACAGCTTAACAAGGACTGAATGTACACAAGTATATACAGTAATTATGTATATATACAGTGATTCTGCAAAGGAATTTATCTGCAAGTTTAGGACTATTCTTCCCTGATCTTGGGCATCTGTAAGAAATACAATGTACCACATGATTTTGGCAGTTCAATACTTTTTAAGGGGACAAAAGTTTCTGTATAACTTTTCTCCCTGTCTTTCCCTGATTTAAATAAAAACATTCCCAGATAATAACCATATACCTGAACAAGGTAAGCTGGTTTCTTCCAGTGTTCATGTCTTTTAGGATTGGCTCAAAAGAGACAAAGCAGGGTGACAGTGTTGGTTTTCCCCATACGTGAAGCCCAGCCCTGCCAGCCGCAATGCTGCGATCCACTGCATGAGTAATCTTAGGTGTGCTTATATCTGCGCAAAAATTCATTCACATTACTTGCGAATATCCTGTCTAAACTTTCTGCTCAGAAGTGATGCCTTGCATCTTCCTTCCCAAATCCAAGCAAGATGCCGGGGAAGCGGCCGGAGAAGTATAATGGTTGGCTGGGGAAGCTCCCACCGCACCACTCCTGGCTGCAGCTTCACCAGCTCAGCACTGAGCCGAGAAACCTGAAGAAAGGCAATGGACAAAAACACAAGGATTATCTGATCTCTAGAAGTTACTGTAATGTTCAGTTGAATAATAAATGCATTAAAACCCTACGAGACACGAGACAGCGCAAGGCTATGGCACAGACAGGTTCTTGAGGGCGAGATGAGCAAGGGAGCACAAAGAGCTCTCCACCCTTTGCAGACAGGTTGCTTTCAGGGAGAATTAAGAACAGAGTTTTGTCTGTTCCAGAAAACAAAAATATATTTTGATTTTAAGTGAGGTTCCCCTTGGCTGGCTGAGTTCTCAGCTCAATGAACAACTTCCGTTTGCAGAAGGTGAAGCAAATGCAAGAAGTCCCACAGAAAGGAGTGGGAGCGCCCATGGACAGGGAGGAAATACATACACACACACACGGATCTGCAGGACCAAACCACTAAGTCATCCCTCGGGGGAAGGTGTTAATTTTCGTTCCTAAAATACATAAAAGTAAAGACCCAAACATCTCTTCTTAGGACTTCCAGAGAAGACCAAGAATTGGACTAGGTATATAACACTGACCATGATGGCCAGGTCATGCTGAGAGTACTCTCAACGCAGTCAGTGCAAAAATAGTATTCATTTTATACCAGTTTCTGAAGGGAAGTATAAAAATGCCACAAGGAAGAAAGTAATTGCTAATATGAGAAGGGAAGTAATTTTGACCTACATAGTAAAACATGTACTAGGTATCTGGTAAACTCTCTGATGAGAATTCTAAAAATACATCCAAAACACATTGAAGTAATTAAATAAATGTAATGGGAAGGCAATACCTTGTAGTGCTTGCAGTATCTCATAGGATGCTTTTTCATGGAGGCTTTTGTACAAAGCTTCAGCAGTTCCGTTACCTTGTTCTCTGTCTCTCCACTTACTTAACAGCAGAAATTTTTGCATATTAACTTCTTCCTCTGTTGCCTGAATCTGCTCGATGTCTTTCATTTCCATTTGAAGACACTCAATGGCAATTTCTCTCCACTGCCTGCCAAACAATTTTGCAATCACCATCAGCTGTTGATCAGTTAAGTTTTTTGTTTCAATTCCATCTGAAAGGACATAGAACAAAAATCAGATTTAACATTTCTCTTCTTAAACTTGTGACTAAATTACATCGTAGTTCTGTGCATGGCCGGGGGACATACAATGAAGGTAATCTTATTATTCTGATTAGCTGGCAAGATCAGACCCAAACACTGGAGAAAAGAGCCTGAAGGACTAGAAAGCCTAGCTCATGAAGATGACCGCATCTGCTTGCATACTGGCTGCTGTAAAGAGTTGGGGTTTTTTTCCCATCTATAAGGAGCTATTCATCCAGCGTGAGAACTTCCCTTGGTACATTAGGTTACCAAGCACCCAGAGATTTTAAAACATATAACGTTAAGATTATGCTAAGCACTTGCTGTCTCACAGCAAGTTGAGATGTCTACTGCTCTCAAACCCTACAGCTACCGCAGAAAGGTGATGTTTGTTTTTATTTTCATTTCAATGGCTCAGAAATCTCAGCCCGCACTGTTACACAGACTGAGCCACTTTCCTTGTCCGTGTGACCACTTACACATGAGGGTTTGGGGGATGGAAGCTCTCCCTCTGCTGGCTACACGTACCCATAAACAAACACATACATGGCTACTTCTGCTGATCATTTGTTTCATTTACTTATTGAACTAACATGATTTCTTCTGCATTTTTTCCAAGTAACTACTAGTAAATGAGTAACTTCTGGGTGGGAGCTCCCAGACCCCCAGCATTTCTGACCATCAGGACATTACCTATCAACAATAAATGAGAGCTGATTTTTTCTCAGAAAAACTCAGCCTCTTACAGCTCAGGAGGTACCCCAAACGCAAAATCTGAGCCATGTAGGGGAAACCCTTTTCAAAAACAGGCACTATTTCCCAGTCTTAGAAGACAACAACATTTTAGCTGAGCCTTACAAAGCAAACTTCCTAGCTGCTTCTCTCCATTTACTTACTGAATGAATGACAGTGTAGCAATGCATACAAATGTAGGCACGAGTTCTGCACCTATAAAAGCAGGGCTTTCCTCTCCTGTATTTTATGCTCAGATTTGTGGAAGTCTTTTAAAAAGTAAGCTCAGGTTCAATTCTAGAGGTACAAAAAATATAACCAACTAACCAAAGAAACAAACAAAAACATTGTTATAAATGACACAGAAATGCTCTACCTGCTTTATTGCCGGTCCTCTGCTTTTTGCTACAGAGCCCATCTCCTTCCAAAATGCTGAGGGCTGGTTTCCGTTTTTTGACACCTAAGAAGCAAGCAAGACATGATGTAACTTCCTTCACATCACTTGAGCTACAAGAGCAAGCAAGGTACACGAAGAGTAAGTCACCCCCGCTGATCTTGAAATCAACTTACTGACTGCACTTCTTTTCTGCTCATTTTTATTCTGATCGTAATGTATCCAGTCACCTGGGAAACAGTTTACAGAGGAAACAAAAGGTGAGGCAGGAATTACCATTGCTATGCCCTACATCAAACAGTTCTCAGGCACAAAACCAAGCTATTGGGCGGATCCTGGCTGTTGAGCTAAGATTTTGTATAATGAGGTGATCTTTTTCTCTTTTATCCAACATGCACATTACTCTCCATAAGTAAAACCAAAGTGGAGCATCCTCCTGCCACCTTCATGTGCTTGCTCATGAGGGATTCTGCAGGTTACTGCAACAGCCCCTACACAACCTCCCATGGTACTTCAGTGTTTTATTATTTTGAGCTCCAAACCTCATGATTTTTACAGCAGGAGTTTAGGTGCATCTAAAGGCTGAA